ACATGTATGTGTGTGATGTCTTGGAACTTTCAAATGTAATCTTGCATGTCGATGTGGCATATTCAAAATAACATTGAAATCCAAAACGACATTGCATAAAAAAAGTCACATGTCCTTGTATTCTACTACTATAAGTACATGTTCTGCAGTGTATTTAATTTATTAGAGGCCCATATCAAACGCAGGCATGTTTTTTTTCAAAATGTTTGTTGTATTTATAACATGAATTCACAAACCTTTTATCTATGCTATTAAAAGGCAAGATATCATTCCCTGGGATTTCACCATAGAATCATAAGACATCATTGTTCACCTTTTGTCTTATTTACGGTTGTAGTTTTAATTGTGTGGGTAATTTTGTTTTCCATTAACTGGTTTTTACATGATACAAACCTTTTGTTCACATTTGCAGACGGCATAGGAATTAATCCTGCACAGAGTGCTGGCAATGTCTTCTTGAAACACGGATCAGAACTTAGGATTATACCAAGAGACAGAGTGGGACACTAATTATTAAGTTTGCCAACAATAACGAAGAGATATTCAGATCAAAGATGGTGACATTTTAACAGCTTCAGTCAGTATTGACGTGACCACAAGCTGCAGCTCAGACATCAATGATATCAACATCCTGCAGTTGTTTGCTCTCACTGGCCGTTTTATCTTCTGACTCGGTGGTAATTTATTGCCCAATCAGTCTGACTGAGTTTCTTGTATGGTTCTGCTAGGTACTGTATTTGCTCTATTACAAGTGTATCTCCAGTAGAAGTTCACATGAACCAAATATTACATTTTACTGGATCTTCATTTTATAACTTATTTTGATCATAGATACACCTCTGCCATTCACAGAAGTATGGTACATGTGCTAATAACAGAGCAAATACGGTATTAGTAATATTTTTTTTTATTTCAATTCAACATTATCATACATAATAAATAATCTAAGCCTCATTTGTTATACCATGTCACTGTTTTAGTTTTAGAATCAATAGCATGAAATACAAAAATTATTTAATATATTACTTGTTATTTCTAGAGATCTTGTGTGCTTGCTATGAATCCAACTGTCAAAGGAAATGTGGGTTCCAGCGCCTTGCAAGTTTGTGCGTAATTCAACATATGTATCGCAGAGTGGACATCTGTTGAATAATAATAAGAAATTTAAACAGTGTGCCATGACTGCAAAAACATGTTTACAAAAAAGGGTGCAAAAATCTTAAAATTTCACATTTTCTGGTTAGTTGTTTAAAAACTGTTACAGTATTGTGTAGTCATATTCTTCTAGCTATTACAGTGATCCCAGAAATGGCAGGAAAGTAGCTTTTGTCACATACCTGGTCAGGGCGTTCTAAACTCAATCTCATCAGAAATGTCAATGATTATCACCTATTGCTTGATGTGCCACCAATGTAAGAGTGCCATTCATGTGATTTGCATGTGCTTCATTTAAACTGACCAATGAATGGAGAGTATTCTATTTCTTCTATTGCATACCCTTTAATACATGTATGCAGTGTTCTCCTTAGAGTTTGTTAACAAGAGAGGCCACTATGTACATACATGCCATTCATTCGCAGTAAAATGAATGTACCGATAGGGCGTTCAATTCAGCGATGATCATGTGACAGTTTCAAGATCAACATTTTTGTGTAGCAAATTATTCAATGAACCTTGTTTAGCTGTTTTTTTACCAATAAACTACTGTAAAAGGGTTAATTATTCACTGGATTTTAATTTTGCTTATTTTGCTGTCCTGATAAATGCGCTAACTTAAAACCCAGTGAATATGTAAAATTTAGCATAGAACACATTATCTAAATGATAAAACCGTGAATTTAAAACCCACTGAATATGCCTGAAATGGTAAATCAGCGAAATTTAAACCCAGTGAAAATTAGTCATTTTACAGTATGTCAAGAATTACTTTTATCAAAATTCCCTGTTAAATTCAAATGTCTTTTGTCAACATTTTTCGATGAAACTGTATTAAAGATTCTCTTGCCTGCATTAAAAATTAGAAAAATATTTTTAGCTCAATGTTTTGTTTTTTTTGCTAATCCTTGCAATATCTAAATTTTGAACACAACACTGTTATTAATCATAATTGGCTGTTTATTTGAATGAATAAAACTATTGTTTATTATATCTTTCAGCCACCGGAATATGTGTGCACAAATATTGAAATCAGAAGATTATCTGCTAAGTGGCAATGCAGATTTATTTTCTTAATCATTGATGATTGACTAATCAGTTTCCTTCATATAAGCACCCACACTTCTAATGGAGTGAATATTACATCTTAGTAGCTTCAGTGATGTAGTTTTGTTTTCAAGTGAAAGCAAAAAATAGAAATGTCAATTTTTTTTTTAGCATGCAAACAAAACAGTTTATTAGTAAGTAAATTAACTAATTAAACTGAACAAATTAATTAGAAATGTATCTGACAATCCATTGGAGGAACCTTATTGTAGCCTGAACAGTACAGGTACCACGGTGATACAAAAACAAGCTGAGCAACTAATTAGTATGCAAATTAGCATGCACATATTAGAAGTTATTAAATATTGATTTACACAAATGGCAATCATGTACCAAGTTTCAATGCATTTGTGCAAGTACATGCTAAAACTAATTAATTAGTATGTAAATATCCTAATTAACATGCATGGATTTGTACCAACATTTAGTTGGCTCTGGTGTTCATGATATACCGGTAGTATCTGAGTTCCTTTTCAATCCAGCCAGTGGTATGACATTACCTCCCGTTTTTGCTTTGCACACCGTGAAGCTAAAAAGTGTGAAACAAAGAAAGAATCAAAAGGCATAACTTCTTTTATTTCTTATCTATAAGAAAACTTAGGAAAAATTACATGATGCAAACACTAGTAATAGAAGGGTACAACTAATATGATTACTTCACCTGGCAATTGCTATTGACAAGATTAGATATATTTTTGGAGAACACAAAGTTTAATTTCTAGCAATAGAGTAACTCTAAAAATCATAATGCTTCAAATGTCATCAAAATCTATTTACATATGTCCAAAAATAAATAAGTATATGATAACTGGCTTTGACATGTTTAGATAAATAGATGTAAGAACATTAGAGAAAGAGCAATACCATACGAAGAAATGCAAAGTTTTGGTTTATCGGTATATCTGTAAGCTGAGAGAAGTCTATTAATATCATAACCATACTGCCCAAAAAAGGAAAATACCAGTTACACATACATACCTGTGTTAGTGACAGGACCTTGCAGCCCTAGTGCAATGTACATGTAAAATGACCTGTATATAAAAATCTAATGTGACAGTCATTATGATGATTGTTTG